AAAATCATATGTAACTTGGCTATGGCTACAGTTAACAACCTAATAAAGTTTATGATATAACTGTCTAAGGAAAAAAAAAAAAAAAAAAGGTTACTATAGCAGATTGTACATAGGTATCTATAGGATAACCAGGTGAGTCAGGATTTAAAAAATTAGGCATTAGATAGTATAAAACTAAATAATATAGTTTCTCATATGAAGAACAAACCTAAATAAAGTCATAGCATGATTGCTGAATTAAAAAAAAAAAATATAAATCAAAAATATATATACAATTAAGTTTATCAAATACGTATAAACTTATAAATAAATCATTTTATTAAAAATTTTATTTATTTATTAAAACATTTTACATTTTTATACATTCTATACTCTTCTAATAACCACAACTAATTATTAAATACAAATCAAATTTTTCATAAGTTTGCATTGCTAAAATTCTATCTTTAAAATTCTAAACAAGTTTTTCTAAATTCTGGTCTCCATTAAACCTTCCTAGCAAAATACAAGATCTACAAAAAGAAAGTATTAGCAACAGTATCAAAAAACGACAAAGCAAGGAAAAATATGAACTAGTACTTATCTTGATATCAATTTTGAGTTCAAGATCTTAACTCTAGTCCTAATTAACCCTTTCCAGCGAAGCACAAGACCTACAAAAAAGATAAAAAACATTAGTAACAACCTCAAAAAATGACAAAAAAAAGAAAAACGCAAACTGATACTTATCTTAGTACTAATTTTGAATTCAAGATCTCAATCCTGGTTCTAATTAACCCTTCTCAGTGAAGCACAAGATCTACAAAAAAAAAAGAAAAAGCAACAACTCCAAAAAATGACAAAGAAAAGAAAAAAATGCAAACTAGTACTTATTTTAGTACCAATTTCAGATTCAAAATCTCAACTCCAGTCTTAATTAACTTTTCTTGGAGAAGTACAAAACCTACAAAAAAAGAGAAAAAGCATTGGCAACAACTTCAAAAAAATGACAAAGAAAAGAAAAATGTGAACTAGTACTTATCTTAGTACTAATTTCAGGTTCAAGGTCTCAATTCTGGTCCTAATTAACCCTTCTCAGTAAAGCACAAGACCTACAAAAAAAAAGAGAAAAAGCAACAACTCCAAAAAATAACAAAAAAAAGAAAAAACACAAACTAGTACTTATCTTAGTACCAATTTCAAGTTCAAAATCTCAACTCTAGTCTCAATTAACCCTTCCTAGAGAAGCACAAGATCTACAAAAAAAGAGAAAAAGTATTAGTACCAACTCCAAAAAAATAACAAAGAAAAGAAAAATACAAACTGGTACTTATCTTGGTATCAATTTCAGGTTCAAGGTCTCAATCCTGATCCCAATTAACCCTTCTTAGAAAAGCACAAAACCTACAAAAAAGAGAAAAAAACATTAGTAACAACTCTAAAAAATGACAAAGAAAAAAAAAACACGAACTAGTACTTATCTTAGTACTAATTTCAGGTTTAAGATCTCAATCTCAGTTCTAATTAACCCTTCTCAGTGAAGTACAAGATCTACAAAAAAAAAGTATTAGTAACAGTACTGAAAAATAACAAAGCAAGGAAAAATATAAACTAAACTTATCTTAGTACCAATTTTAGGTTCAAGATCTCAAACCTGGTCTCAATTAACCCTCCTCAGCAAAGTACAAGACCTACAAAAAAAGAGAAAAAGCATTAGCAACAACTCCAAAAAATGACAAAGAAAAAAAAAATACGAACTAGTACTTATATTAGTACCAATTTAGGCCAAGATCTTAAACTCAGTCTCCATTAACCATTCTTGACAAAACAGAAAACCTACAAAAAAGAGAAAAAGCACTAGTAATAACTTCAAAAAATAACAAAAAAAAAAAAAACATGAACTGGTACTTATCTTGATACCAGGTTCCAGATTCAAGATCTTAATCATAGTTTCCATTAACCCTTCCTAGCGAAGCACAAGACCTACAAAAAAAGAGAAAAAGCATTAGTAACAACTCCAAAAAATAGACAAACACAAAGAGTTGTACTAAAAGAGGTCCATAATATCTCAGGTCTCATACGGAAAAAAGATAATATATCAGAAGTAATATTCAGTAGAAAGTACCTAGAAAAAACAGAAAAAGAGAACCAAAAAAGCAAAGTAGGAGAGTTTAAAAAGTTTAAGAATCTAGAACATATCAAAGTAGAAGAGAGCTGGGAAGCAGAATTAATCAATCAAGTTATTCAAGATACAAGAACTAGAGAAGAATTAAAGAGTAGACTAGAGGCAAATAGAGAAAAAAAGGAAATAGTATTTTATACAGATAGCTCACTCAGTAAAGAAGATATTAGAGGAAAAATAAGAATAGATTTTAGTATAGTTCAAATAGATAGCACAAATAATATAGTTTTTAGTTACAAAGGAAGAATAGGAAATTGGTTTTCATCTACTTGTGCAGAGCTAGTAGCTTGTCTAGTAGCAGTTTTATTAGTTCCTAGTAGATGCAAAGTAGAAATTAGAATGGATAGCACATATGCAATATTTATAGTTAAGAACTGTCTAAAAAATGAAAAGATACGTGAGTAGTTGAAGTCTAAAAATAATAACATTCTGCATGCAATCAAGAAAGTCTGTAAAAGCAAATTAGTTCAGTTAATATTCACAAAAGTCAAAAATCATTCTGAAGATACTTATAATAATGCAGCAGACATATTTGCAAAAGAAGGAATATACGAAGCATACAGTATGGAGCTAAACTATATTAGCAACAATAGTATAAAGTATATTCTTAAATGGAAAAAGATAAGTTTAGAAACTCCACTAAGAGCCTTCATTAAAAAAGCTGTTCAAATGATGTACAAAGCAGAATAGACATGGTTAAGAAAGAAAAATGATAAGGAACACCAGACAAGAATTCAAAAACAGAATTAGAAAGCTTTTAAGGACATACTTAGAAGCTACTGTAAGCAATATTAAAATCTTGAAGTAAACCACTTGTGACTTTTTAAAACTAAATACATTGAAAACCTCCTCTTAACAGTTGAAACTTTAAACTGTAGAAGACCTCATATATACAAAAACAATCTATACAAAAGATGCTTTAAAGAAAAAGAAACAATTGGGCATTTGATTACATGTGAAAAAACAAATCAAGTACTAGAAAAAATTGAAGAAGAAGTATGGAAATAGCTCAACAAAGATAAAAGAAAGGAGGAAAATTAGGATTTATTGAGCATATATCAAACTATCTAATGCGAACAAGAAAAAAAAAACAAAAAAGAAAGAATAGATAAGAGGTATCTTGAGTGAAAAGGATGCAGAAAAAATCAAAAACATTGTTGGCTTTGAAGGTATGACGACTAAATTTTGGAGCTTATTTTGGAATATTTAGATAAAACTATTCTACAAAGAAGTCTAGAAGATCTGATATAAAGCGATGAAAGCATGAGAGAAAAAAGAAAAGATTTTCAAAAAGGAAAAATATACTAAAGGGGAAAAAAAGAAGAAAAACACCTCAAAGAAAAGCTCTACGAAGGGAAAAACAAACTGCAGAATAGATGAGAATACAAAACACTATAATGTTAGTCTTAAAATAGCATTAGATAGTATAGATAGAGAAGTAAAGAAGGGAATTTCAGATAATTAGATTTAAGAGGTAATCTGCAGTTAAAGGGTATAAATTTCATAGTAAAAATCGGCAGGCATTTACTAATTGCCTTATATAGTAAGTGAAATCCGAAAAGATTGTTGCAATAGTAAAAATCATATAGTAAAAAAAATACAAATACTAATATCTCGGGATCTACCAAACCGATTTTGATGATTTAATTATTATTAGAATCAGAAAACAAATTTATACAACTTTTATTAGAAGCCAAAAGAACGTTAACTTAATAAAAAAAATACTTTTATATGTAATCTGGCTGGATTTCTATATTATAGAAAGTTTATATTAAATTCCGATTTTGTTTATTATAAGATTTGGTGTTTTTTTAACCCTTCAATTACGATTTACCCCTTAAGTTCGTTTACTTTAGGGTTAGGGCGAGGCCTAGAATTTTAGCAAGGTGATAAATATATGCAATTTTTTGCAAGGAATAAAAGCGGTTTCTTATGCAAATTTTCGAAAAACAATTGATTTTTTCAAATTAACGTTTGTTTTGAATTTTTCTGATCGAGTTACGTTACACAAACTATGAAACACAACATACCTGATACCGAATTATCATATTATTTCCTTGTGTCACTGGTCGAATATTTTTATTCTTGCCGGTAATAAATCACGTGATTTCACGGATCAAAACAACAATTCCAAATTAGGATGTCTATAGCTATATTTTGCTACATACAATATAAATACGCCTAAATTTCTTACCATAAACAATATGGTTTGTCTTTCGTTTTTAAGTACGTTGTGGCAAATCTGTTGGAATTCACCCTTTAATACGCTTAGTAGCGGACAACATAAACAACCCGTAGTTTTTTTAATGGTTCTAGCCGTTCTTTTGACGTTATAAAAGAAAATTCGGAGCAGGGAAGTTTTTAATTGCCTCTATGCTTCTTAAGTATAGTCGTAAACAGAAACTAATATTGACAGTCAAAACTAGATTTTTGACGTTCATGGGTTAAATGTGTTGATTGTAGACTAAAAGTCTCTCGACTATAACCCTTAGTTTTATATTATGGCTATATAGTTTTTTTTTTAAAAACGTTTAAGAGCAATATGCAATTAAGGGCTCTCGAACCACAGATATTTTAGCGGTGTGGGATGAGTGAGTGAGATTAAGTGTGTGTATTAAATTTTATTTTTATCACGATGCTTCGTCGTCGTTTTATGACGTGCTTTTCGCGTTTTTTTCGTCGTATTGGTGGTATTTCCTTCGTCGTTTTTGATAGTGTTTCCTTCGTCGTTCTAATGGTGCTTTCTTCGTCGTTCTAGTGGTGCTTCTTTCGTTGTTCTGGTGGTACTTCCTTCGTCGTTTTTGGTAGTGTTTCTTTCGTCGTTTTGGTGGTGTTTCCTTCATCGTTCTAATGGTACTTTCTTCTTCGATTTAGGGTGCTTCTTCGTCGTTTTAGTGATGCTTTCTTCATCGTTCTCGTGGTGCTTTCTTCGTCGGTTTGGTGTGTTTCTTTTGTCGGTTTGATGATGCTTCTTTTGTTGTTCTCGTAGTGCTTTCTTTGTCGTTTTGGTGTGCTTTATTTGTCGTTTTGGTAGTGTTTCATCATTTTGCATTTCTTCGTGGCGTTTCCTTCCTCGTTTTGATGGTGTTTCCTTTATTGTTTTGGTTGTTTATTCGTATTTTTTCGTCGTTTTAGTAATCATTTTGGAGTTTAGTTATTTTGTAGTGTTTCCGTTTGAAAGTATTTTTCCACAAGCTCCAAAGGTTTGTAAAAAAGCGAAGCACTAATTAAGAAATCGAATTTCAATGATTTTACTCGACAACAATCATCTGAAATCAATCACATGAAAGATTGCCATTTTTCCAGGTCATTACATTTTCAAAACAGACATCAAATCTTTACTTCGGAGTTTAAAAAGTTAATGTCGTTTTTTTTTTTAAAACAAAATTATTTATTTAGTTTAAATTTATATTTTTTAAATTTCAAATTTTTAAACTTATAACTTTTTTATTTTTTAAAGATTTAAATTGTTTTTTTATTAAATTAAAATTTCTATTTTAATTTCTGCTTTATTAAAATGCACCATAGCTGAACATTATAGTTGTTATATCTAGAGATGGGTAAATTTATGATTTTTCTAGTTTCATCACCTTTTAGTAGTTTCGCCAGTTTTGATAGTTTCGACAGTTTCGACAGTTTTGCCAGTTTTGACAGTTTCGCCAGTTTCGCCATTTTGCTATTTTTAATTTTTTTTGGCGAAACCTCTAAGTTTCTCCTAACAACGCTAGGTCAACCAAAAAAAAAACCTCCGCGTTAAAAAGCATAAACTTTTTGGTTCTTTTTGATTTTTCTCGTTACACTAGATCTTGAAATTCTAAGTATACAAGGTGAAATATGGATCAGAGATGAGTTATTAGAATATACAGTAATTGCATGTTTCGATGAATAGGTCTATTCAATATATTTTTAATATTAAATTTTATCAGGAAACCGGTTTCCATACCCGTGTAGCGATGCCAACAAAATTACGTAATCACGAATCATCACATACTATAGCTTATACTTATTGGACACGACGTGAAAAATTACTAGTTATCTTCTGGTGATAATTAATGATTACGTAATTTTGTTGGCATCGCTATACTTTGCCACACTACTTGTAGCAAAAAAACTCTTAAGACTTTGACATAAAAATCTCAAATCCTTTAAAGTCCTGTCAGATCGGCCTTCCGTGTGATGAAATATTTATTTCGTTGCCTGTACAGTATATCGATTATTAGGGTGACAAGCCACATTAATTAAATATTCAAGCCTTATAGACATTTATCGTTGTATAATGATTCATTTTTTTTTATTCGAGTTAATTTATTGAGCGAGTATAAAGAACATTATACGTAATTAATCGATGTTTTAATTTTTATATGATACCTAAATAAACAGTCAACTCTCTAAACTGTACCCGGTTTATGCTTTACGCCAAATGGGAAAATCCCAAACTCCTAAAAAATATAATTCCTATTTAAAAAAATTGAATCAAAAAACTCATCTTAAATTTCTGTAAATATATGATTATAGTTATAAGAATATATTTGATTTGTTTATAGAAAGACTATTAATTAATTGTTATGAGTTTGGGATTTGGGCGTGGACAAACCGTAGATTGGAATTCGGGCGGCAAGTATAACTCGGTTAAACTAAACATAAATAATCTCTGAAAAATGAGCAATAAGCTTAAAACATTTAAAATTTAATCAATAAATTTGGTTTATAAAAGGAACTTCTTTTAAAAATTTTTAATATAAGACACGGAGTGTGGTATAAAGAAAGTTGACTAAGTTTTTATTTATATAGTATCCTCATAAATGTACTACACCTATAGTTGTTAGGCGAAACCTAGAGGTTTCGCCAAAAAAAAATTTAAAATGGCGAAATGGCGAAAGGTGACGAAACTAGCGAAAGATAGAGAAACTGGCAAAAGATGACGAAACTGGTAAATGGCGATTAATAATTCGACCAAGTCAGCCTAGAGGTTGGAACCGGTTTTAATAATTAGGGTTTATCACGTGAATTTTGTGATATTTTAGAATTTTATCCAATTAAATTTTAATAAATTCTAAAATATCACAAAAT